CATTTGAAGCAGAAAAACTCTCCTTCAAAGGTCGTCCCCGTATTCTGCACCAGGAGTGGTTTGGCTCACTTCGTAGCCGGAGATTTGTGCGCCCGTTCATACGTCGCATGCAACAACTGATAGTTTCCGTTCATACGCAACAAGAATCAACTCCTACAACGCCTGGCTATTGGTACAATGTCAGATGCTAATGTCTGGAGGCCAGCCGCTCTAAATAACTTAACACCACGTCGATTGGACGGGTGTGTCACTTGCAAACTACGGACCAAACTAAGGCATATCATGATTAGCCAGTGTCAGCAAATCAGAATAGAGCATTTATCCCTTGGCGCTTCTTGCCAGCTAACGAGGAGCCTTGTGTGGGAAATCCTGTGATAACTTTATACGTACAGTTGTAATAGTTTTCCTTTGTCCTTATAGAGGGCTACCTTAAGCTATTGTGCCTTTCGACATATCAGTGGGCGGAACAGTGAGTGAAGGACTAACATAGGAGTTGCGATACCGTCTTCAGTACTTAACATCTGGTGATGAGAGTAGGATATCCACAGTGGTACTCGATGCAGGAATTTCTACCTGCGGTACAACACGGCCAAAGATGGAACCTATGCTGGCTCGGCTACAAATCCCCTTCGGTCGCTATCACAGTCCACCCCAACACACCATCCAAAACCAGGTAAACCTGGGGGTCCACGCAGACCGGAAATTTCGGTAGGTCAAGAAGGTGGAATAACTGAGAGAAGAGAAAAATGCTGGAGGTGTCTGCAGGTTGTTGATTCGCTCGGCAGGATTGTGGAAGCCTCTTGTCAGTGGAACTGTTAGGGACCAAAATGGCTATCCAGTAAAGGAGAACAGTTAAACTGTTGTACAGAGCATTGCGAGCACCAGTTCAGCTGGAAGTGTGCTACTTCCTATCCATGCTGTTGGCTTTTTAACAGAAGCATGGGTTGGAAATGTGGAATTCTCTTCAGCTCAAGAAAAGTCTAAGTGTATATCCCTACTCACGCTTTGTTATTAATAAACTACTCAGACGAACCGTAGAGGTATTCAAGTCACTGCTGCTGAAAGTCTTGTCGACCTAAAGTATGCAGTCAACATAGTTCTAGACCTTGAAGGCGAACACAAAGCACAAGCGCTGCTGAGTAAACTGGCCACCAACATGCCATCTTGAGGCAAGTGACTTGAACCTGCAAAGTCCAAACCGTTGCGTAAGGACGTGATGCTCTTTGCAATTCAAGGAGAAACACTGGATTTTGAAGGCAATCCGATGCACTCTAGGGTTTTTGACTACCGATGCTTCAGAAGCGTTGCTAATATCGAATGGCATCGACTAATTCTTGACGATGTCATCAGAAAACGGGTCGCGGAAAACATTCAACACGATCAGCGGCGGTCGCTCAACCACGTGCCATGCATACTGAATCATCATCCACTGAAACGAATGCTATTCTCCACGCCTTTTTCATGATGGCACAAATTTCGAGGTGGACAAGTGTGACCTGGAAGAGTGGTGTGAAAGAGAGTACAAAGAACCTGAATGTTGCTGGTTCAAAACGCCTTATAGGGAGGGGTCTCCGTGACCCCCCACCTGTGTTTGGCTAGAAACATGAGAAACGGCGGCTAACCAATATCAGCGGCGTTCGTGTTAACACTTTCTATCCAGATTGACCGACTGAGCGCTTGGAAGCGCAGGCATTTTAGGATGCCTGCGGAAGACTAGTTTTAGACTCCTTCCCCATTCAGTCCTCCTTTGTCTTTTCTGGCTTTCGGTCTGTAGTCGTACGGCAGTAAAGTATTAACATGAGCACCAATGTTGCAGTCTTTGATGATGAGGTGAGGTGCGCAGAGATAGCACTGTTCTAAGTATGAAGGCAATATTACATAGTGCGGCAGACATGGGTCTTGTATGAGAGGAATATTTGTCAGTGAAAAAAGAGACCAGTTTCTCTGGAAGCTCAGGTTGCACTCTATTCCACATACGAGTCCGAGTGAGTTTGTTAAAAAAACAAGCGAGTAGTTGAATTATTAATGGATCAGATTACAAAAAAAACTTAGTGGTAGGTTGGCGGAGCAGAGGCGGAGAGACAGAGAAACAAGTGAATGTGGGTAGGATTGAATGTAGCTGCGTTTAGCGCACCCAAGTACTAATGTAGTCGGCGCCGGCTGTAATCTTGGGACGTGACCAGTTATTACCAACCTGTGACGAGGTAAATCATCGAAAAAAATGGGTGTTCGAAATGAAGAGGGTTGTGTCATCTACAAAAGCGTTGACACATCCATGAGATTGTTGATAGACAGATGATGGTGATGACGATGACGATGATGATGATGATAGACAGAGGGAACGGTGTTGGGAGCACTTTACGTATCCCAGAAAAAACTGTCAAGGCGCAGCCGAACAGAGAGGTTTGTCAGAAAGCTTCCAAGCCGGTTCACCAAGTAGGAATACCGTCAGTAAATTGCCACTTTGGCAATCAGCTTATATTGCTATACTCGACCAAAAGACTTCAAGATATCAAGGCAACTAAATTCGTTTGGGGTACAAACAAATTCTCCGACCTAAAGCTGATACCTTGACGTGGTGGTTGGGCTTGAGTGCTGCAATGATTCTGCGGGCTCTACTGACTCGAACTTCTTTCCGCAAGGTGCAACCATGTCAGGAAGGCCAAAGGAAAGCAGTCAAACCAAGGGCAGCGAGACCTCGTACTACAAATAGTCATGCTATGGGGCGATCTGGGGGTAAATTTGTACTGTCCTCCGTAATAGTCGTGTGAAGGCAGTAAGACGTTTCCCCCAGGCGATCAGTATGTCCATATTTGTGGAAGTAGTGATACTGCCTTCACCCGAGGAAGGCCGGGTTAGAAAAGGTTGGTCCCAAACACCGCAGACCTAATTGCCCAATGATTGCCCATTCGCCGGCGTATTATCCAATACAGTCGAAGTACTTTTAAAACCAAAGAAACCGATGCTGTTCAAAGGGCACTTACTGCGCACAGCCGCATCAGAAATGAGACAGTAATGTCTTACTCCCTGTGCCCAGTGGTTAGGCCAACCCCCTGAAGCCGAGCAGGTCGGACTATTAAGTCATCGGCCCCGGGCAGGGCCCCCAAAGAAAACCCTACTGTTTGCTGCTTCGTGGGTCAGCCTTTGAGTCAAAGGCTCAAGGTGAGGTACCTCAACTAAACCTCCTTCTTTGGCCTGAACAACCGGGAAGCATGATTTACCCGCGCAGTTTGGTGCCAACCGATGCCCGCTCCCAACTTCTCTCCACCAAACAAGCAAAGGTCACTGGGTCATTTGACTGTCAGTTATCCGACTGAAGGGCCTCATGCTTCTCGCTGTCTATTAACAATGAACAAAATAACATCTTTCTAAATCCATTAGACCCTTTCCATGTAGGGGCCTGTAACGTTCGCACTCTATGTCAAATAGGCAAACAGGCAATACTTGCTGAAACCCTATACTCCCTTAAAATTGATGTATGCCGTGTCTCCGAAACACGCATACAAGACCCAGGCGTGGGTATATATCTCAGAACGCCAAGGATGAACTCAGCTCTCTCATTTTTTCTCCGTGTGTCCGGTGATTCAGAAGCGATGACTCGTGGAATATGTAGTGTGGGAGTTGCACTCAGCCCCACAACTGAACGCGCTTTACTGCATTGGATTCCAGTGAACAGTCGTCTTTGCGCAGTCNAGAGAGACAGAGAAACAAGTGAATGTGGGTAGGGTTGAATGTAGCTACGTTTAGCGCACCCAAGTACTAATGTATTCAACGCCGGCCGTAATTTTGGGACGTGACCAGTTGTTACCAACCTGCGGCGAGGTAAATCATCGAAAAGAATGAGTGTTCGAAATGAAGAGGGTTGTGTCATCTACAAAAGCGTTGACACATCCATGAGATTGTTGATAGACAGATGATGGTGATGATGATGATGACGATAATGATGATGATAATGATGATGATGATAGACAGAGGGAACAGTGTTGGGAGCACT